TGTGTGTGTGTGTGTGTGTGTGTGTGTGTGTGTGTGTGTGTGTGTGTATGTGTGTGCGTTGGGGGACGGGGGTAGGAATGACACATACCAGGACTGAGTGTTAGGTGGAGAAGTTTGCTCAAGCCGCATGTTCTGAGGTTGGGAAGGGTGGTTTCCCAATGCATGTGCAGGGTCCTTTTTATACGAGAGCTAGTTTGCCAGCAGCGAAAGTACAGAACCAACCAAGCATCCATTTCTCTGCTAAGGCCTACTCCTCAGGCCTTGTCCTCACGTTCACTCCACAAGGTGAGGTTCTAAGGTAACACTGGCAGTCACTTCTGAGCAAGACACCTCGCCCCTGAGTAGAGCAGGGAAGGGTCTATGTTCAGTAAGCTCTACCCTCGAGCATTTTCACAGAGCAGCCTCCAGTCTCCAGCTGGCAGCTGCTAGGACCAAGGGGGCTGGCACCAGGCCCTGCCCCTCCCTTACTAGCTGTGTGTGTCTCCAAAGGAAAGCATCAGAGTGACAGCCGGTACCATCTCCACAGCGGCTGAGTTGCTGGAGCTGGGCTAGGGCAGGGGGAGAAAGCCGAGCCAGGCTCTGCCTTGCGTCCTCCCATAGGGCCCACTAAAACCCACAAGAAGATGGCAGCTTGGTCGTCGGAGTCACCCCCTGGGCAGCCTACGAGGTGAGGGGCCCCCGAGGAGCATGGGACAGGTGATGGGAATCCTGGAGCCTGAGGCTCCATTTCGCTCTCCCCATAGCAGCCTCAGTGAAGCCTGAGCGCTCAGATGGCCAACCCCTCGGGCGCCACCGAACTCACAGCCTCGGTGGGGTTTATCCTGGCGGTTCTCGTGGAGGTGGGGGCCGTGCTGGGCAACGGCACGCTGCTCGTGGTGGTGCTGCGCACTCCGGGCCTGCAAGATGCCTTCTACCTGGCGCACCTGTGCGTCGTGGACCTACTGGCGGCCGCTTCCATCATGCCCCTGGGCCTGCTGGCCGCGCCGCCCGGCCTGGGCAATACTCCCCTGGACCCCTCCTCTTGCCGGGCGGCGCGATTCCTTTCGGCGACGCTGCTCCCCGCTTGCACGCTCGGCGTGGCCGCGCTCGGCCTGGCGCGCTACCGCCTCATAGTGCACCCCCTGCGGCCAGGCGCGCGGCCGGCTCCAGCGCTGGTGCTCACCGCCGTGTGGTCGGCGGCCGCGCTCCTGGGCGCGCTCTCTCTGCTCGGGCCGCCGCCCGCGCCGCCTCCGGCTCCGGCTCGCTGCTCTGTCCTGGCCGGGGGTCTCGGGCCCTTCCGGCCCCTCTGGGCGCTGCTGGCCTTCGCGCTGCCCGCGCTCCTGCTGCTGGCCGCCTACGGGAGCATCTTCCTGGTGGCGCGGCGGGCGGCCCTCCGGCCCCCTCGCGGGGCCCGGCTACGCTCGGACTCTCTGGACAGCCGCCTCTCCTTCTTGCCATCCCTCCGGCCACGTCTGCCCGGGGGCAAGGCGGCCCTGGCCCCGGCCCTGGCCGTGGGCCAGTTTGCCGCCTGCTGGCTGCCTTATGGCTGCGCGTGCCTGGCGCCCGCGACGCGCGCCGCGGCGGCCGAGGCGACTGTCACCTGGGTAGCCTACTCTGCCTTCGCGGCTCACCCCTTCCTCTATGGCCTGCTGCAGCGCCCGGTGCGCTTGGCGTTGGGCCGCCTCACCCGCCGAGCAATGCCTCGGACTCAAAAAGACTGCACGTCGCAGGCCTGGCACCTACGGACAGTTCTTCAGCGCCTCCAGGGACTCCGCAAGGACCCTGCCGCAGGCCCTTCCGAGGCACCAGAACAGACCCGAGAAATGTCAGGACAGAGCTCTAGCGTGTCTGCGGCCACCTGAGAGATTTCTCCTGAGCTGGGGAAAGGATGGGATCAGAGGGGCACATCCACCCCCTGCTCAAGTTGTGGCAGGTACTCTGCCCGGACTGCTGGCTCTGAAACTGGGCGAGAGGATAGTATTTAGCCTGGTGAGGTTTCTCAGGAACACGCTTCTGGGCTCAACACTACCTGGGTGGTCTTGTATTCAGTCCTGCCTTTCCCGGAGCCTCAGTTTTCCCATCTAGACCCTACACCATCACCTCCTAAGGACCTCTCCAGTGTATGCTTTTTAAAATCATGGATGCACCCTGATCCAGAGAGGAGAAAGGCAGGTAAGCCAGAAGGATGAGCCAAGCTGGACAGGGTCTGGGTAACACCACGTTAGGAGGATCCAGTGGAGAGACATGCAGAAGATTTCCCTGCCTTTTGTGCCGTGGAGAACGACTCAAAGTCACCACTCAAGCTGCTTGGAAAACAGCCTGACTGGTTTGGTGCTAAAGGCAGGAGGCTGAGCACATGACCCCCAAAGGGTCCTGTGATTTCACCCCAGAACTGACAGGAGGAAGGGGCTATAGACCAACTAGAGCTGGTGGATTCACAGATTGGGGTTCTTTGGGGTTTCGGCTATTAACCTTCCCTGGAAGTCTTGTCACCCCAACACCAGATTATTTCACGGCTTTCTGGTCGCTGAGAATATTTATTCAAAAACAGGGATTGAAAAAACTGTACAGAGTGTCTGCTGCTGAGAACTGGGCCCCTGCCCCTAGGCCACTCCCCCCGGCTACAGGCAGAGCCCTCTCTTTGGGTTGCCCTCTGACAAGCCCAGCCAGTCTATTCCAGTCAAAAGGGTATCGGTGAAAGCAGCAGGATCTGCAGGGGATGAAGAGAAGCTTGGCCCCAGCCACCCCTCACTCTCCTCCAACTCCCACTGGGGCAGCAGGCTGAAAGCCCAAAGGGATGGAGAGGACACGAGCTGCCTCCCACGGCAGGGCACTGGGGAGAGCCCAGCCATGCCCTGCATCCAAGCATAGGTCTGAAGGAGTGGAGCCCCTGCCCTGGGGCTGCTGCCATAGCTCCTAGAACCCTGGGCCAGAAACTGTCCCCTCTCTGAGGAGGAACTCCAAAGACGGGGCAGGGTAGGGGGTGCGCATCCATGCGTCTGGCATTACTGGCGCTTGAGACCCCATGGTGGAGTCTCCTTGGGCAGGAAGGATGTGGAGGCAGCCCCTGCTGGCGGTCCTGCCTGCCCCCGCCTGTGCCTCAGCCGGCCTCAGTAGGGGGAGAATTTCTGCCGTTCAGCTTTCTTGCTCCCATTGGCCGCTGCCATCTTGGCAGTGTAGGCCGCCAAGCCCGGCGGTGGCCCTGGGGAAGCAGGTGGTAGAGCCAAGAAGGGCACAGGCTTGAGGCCGATGAAGTTGGAGAGGGAGATGGCATAAGGTGTGCCCAGCAGGCCTGGGGGAGCTGTGGGCAGGGCCGTCAGGGGTGGCGAGAAAGGGGTGGGCAGTTCTGCGGGGGCTGAGCCAGGCGTCCCCCCAGAGGTAGACTTGGCCGTCTCTAGACTGGAGAGAGGGACACAGGGGGGAGATGAAGGGAAAGGTGGGAGTAAGACAGAGGCCGTGAGGTTAGCCAAAAGATAGGAGAGTAGATTGAGGAACAGTGGCATGGGGTGGGGGTGTTTTGGGGAAGGATTGGAAAGGTGCAAAGCGAAGGGGAGCAGAAAACACAAGCAGACATAATGGGTCAAGAGGAGAGATAGGAGAGAAGACTCAGGAAAAAGCAACAGGTAGGATGTGAGGGGAGGATACAGAAGTAGTAATGGGGCCACAGAGATGACTTAGGCAGAATACCACAGGAAAAGGAGAGGGGCGGCGGGGGACTGGTCCAGAGAGACAGGAGGGCATCCCTTCCTCCCCGCCTGTGTTTTCCCACTGCCCACTCTGTGCTCACCAGGCAGTGATGAGGTACTGAGCCAGGGCAATGGAGACCGGCGAGCCAGTGATGGTCACGTGCCGCTCCCCAGCACCCTCTGCTTGGTTCCCAATCTTTATATGTGCCCCTGACATCTGCCGGATCTCGCTGATCTTGCTGCCCTGGCGTCCGATCACACAGCCAATCAGCTAGGGGGAAGGCAGAATTTAACCCTGGGCAAGGTCTAGAGCCCTGGATCCCTTCGCCACCCTCCGGCCCCTCAGCTTCTGCTCACATCATTGGGCACCAGGAACTCCTGTGAGCTGGTCTGTGTGCTGGGATCCAGTCCTGCAGCAGAGGAAAAGGACTGAGTGTGGTTCTGGGTTTCTACGGGCCTCCCAGGTCCACGGTAAAGGATACCGGGCTCCTGGCGGTCTCCTTAAGCCAGAACCGCTTACCTGGCACCACACTGGGAGAGGCAAAGGGAACTGCATGGCCTGAGAGCTGCTGGAGCTTGGTGACCTGTGCCAGAGAACAGGGGCAGAGGTTAGAGGGGGCAATTCAGGAAAGGAGTGTCTCAGGCTGTGGGTCACTCACCTCCGCAGGGGTCACTGCTCCATACTGACCCTGGACAGAGAAACCCTATGGGGACAGAACAGTTGAAAAGGGAGTCACTGTAACAGGTCAGGACAGTTTAGTCAGCTCATTCCCTGTCCCCTCTGCAGAACCCCCCCCCCATTCTTTATTCTACTCCCTCCTCCACCTTGGTCCCCTTCTCTAGTAAGGCTTCTAGCCTCTCCCGATGTTTCCCTCACCTGGTTGGCAGAGAGGAGGACGGTACCTAGGGAGAGGCTTGGATGATACGGGATAGTGGCTCCTTTGGGTGGGGACTGGGAGGCACAGATTGAGAAGCTTTGTCAGGATCCTCGCAGGCCTCCCCAAGAACCCAGCAGCCTTACGGCATTCCCACGGCTCTCAGGGGATTGTATCCCAGCATGCCCTAAGGCTTAGAACCAATCCACCTCGGCAGCTCTGCCTGCCCCACCCCACCTATATTACAACCGTAAGATCTGGACGGTTGACAAGCACCCGGGGCCTCTCCTGCCCTCTCCCCCACCCCGGGAAGCACCTCTAGAATAACAGCACAGATCTGGCGCACACACAGGACGATGGCGTCAGGCACCCCGGACACGGTGACAGCACGCTCTGTGGAATTGGGGAGCAGGTCCCCCGCCACCTGCACCTGGGCTCCCGTGGTCTACAAACAGAAAACAGTGACCACTTCTGAAGACTCCAATGGACGAGAGAAAGGCTCCAAGAGCCTAGAGCGCCTTGGGAGCTCCAGTTCCCTCTCCTAGTGAAGGACAGGAGGCATAAGCCCACGGGTGGTTGTCTGTCTCAGCTCACCTCTCGGATCTCCTTGATTTTGGTGCCCGCTTTCCCTATCAGGGATCCACACTGGCTGGCAGGGATGACAAGGCGCAAGGTCACTGGAGGCCTGGAGACACTGCCACCATTTGTAGGAGCAGCACAAAGGTCCTGGGGCAGGGGGACAGCGGGTCAGCCAGGTATGGCCCTGCTGCTCCTCAATCCTCTATCAGGTATTTTCCTGAAGAGGGATAAGGAAAGTACCTCCTCTCTGCTCCGAAGAGAACCCTGGCCTTCGCCTTGACCTCCCCCCACCCCCCATGGCCACTATCTGGAGACCGGGTCAGGTTTCTCACAGGCAGCCACCCTCAGACTCCCACGAACCTCATCCAGCTTGAAGGCAATCATGGAGACTGCATGGAAGACAGCAGCTGTCGAGCCGGTGATGGTAGTAATTCGCTCAGGGCACGAGCCCTCAGAGATGGTGATCCGGGCACTGCTCTGCAGGTGTGGGACAAGCACTGGGCAGCAGGCTTCTTCCCCACCGTGGTGGCAGGGGTCTGTCTGTCCGCCTCTCTCACTTGGGCCCAGCCAAGATTAGAAACTGCCATTCCTCTGGGCATTCACTTCTCACAGGTGGAGTGATTCAGGGGGAAATGGCCACCTCCCCTCCCCTCAACATCAGGGCCCCGGGTTCCTTCCCTGACCCCATCTTTACCTGTTCCCGGATTCGCTTGACAGTCTCTCCCTTCTGTGGGAGACAAAAACCGAGAATCCCAAGTGGTCACCCATTTGCCGGGGCTAAGACTCAAGTTGGGGGAAATATACAGAGCAGAACTGGACACCTACCTTCCCAATGATACTGCCCACCTCCTGTAAAAATAACAAGAGTGGGCTCGGATGGGTGTGGCTGCCCCAGGCCAGCTCCTCCTGTCACTCAGGCAGGGAAGCAGCACCTTGACCAGACGTGGGCCACCCCACCCCCACTCACCTTCCCATGCATCAGCATCCGTAGAGTGAGGGTGATGCTAAGCTCCGACCCCTCCTCCAGCCCCGCATCTGAACTGCTCATCCTGTCAGGCGGGGCTGGGGCCACGGAGGCCTGGGACTGTGTCCACGCTGTAGCTCAGCTGGTTCTGGACGGGGCAGCAGAAAAGGGCATCTGAGAGAAGCCCTCGTTACCCTGCCACTTACGTGGGAACCCCAGAGCCAGGCCAGCAGAACTCAGAGAGAAGGGAGAATAGCGTGGGCCTTGAGTTCTAAATGTCCCAAGAACCGGTGTATTTGCGTGCCTCTTCCGAGCTGTGCAATCCTGGTCCTTTAACCCTTCTGGGCCTTAGTCGCCCAACTGCAACAATAATTACTGAGGCCTACACCCCAAACTTCTGATAGTTAAAATAAGATAGTCACAAGCCGGGCATGGTGATGAGCACCTTTAATCCCAGCACTCAGGACACAGAGGCAGGTGAATCCCTGTGAGTTTGAGGCCAGTCTGGTCTACAGAGTGAGAAACCCTGTCTCAAAAAAACAAAAACAAAAGACAGTCACATGATAGATACCCAAGTTCCCTGACTATTGTTCCCTTCCTCCTACCTATTAGAAGGATGGCAGGGGGTTACGGCTCAGTGGTTGAATGCTTGCCTAGAGTATACACTGTCCTAGACCTGAGCACCAGAACGGGAAGAGAGGGGATGGATGAAGAGGTCTATGAGAAACCACATGACCGCTATGGATTGAGCCTCCACTGTGGAGCTAAGGTTGAAAGTGTGCTCTGGGCCAGGCATAGGAACACAGGCCTATAAACCCGGGATGCACTCAGGCTAAGGCAGGAGGCTCTCATTCAAGGCTAGCCTGGGCTATGTAGTAAGATCCTGTTTCAAAAAAAAGAAAAGTTTACTCTAAATATGAGGTACCTGCTTCCAGAGGCCAGAGCTGGCTGGCTTAACAATGGTGGAGAAGAGGACGATAGAGCCTGGCAAAGGGCTCCTGCTTGAGGGCATTTCCCATAGACCAGGGATCATTAGAGAAGAGGGTCACTGCAGACATGGGGGTGAAGGTAGGCTCTCTCAACAGTGCTATTTCTGATCCATTCCCTATGTCCAGAATGTGCATACGGTAAGTACAGAGAGTCTGGCCACATTCCCCACCTACAACACACCACTGTGCCGGAAACACGTCGCTGAGTCTCCGGGGCTTAATTTCCACCTACAGCAGAGAGGATCTGTCTCCTTGGGTCTGAGTAACGGGTAAGAGAAGGATTTGGTGGGCTGCAGGAATGTCAAGGCCATTAACTGATGGAACAAGGCCGAGCCTGAGATTAGCTACTGGGAT